ACATCAAATGAGCTGTACTGCAGATAAAGAATTTAAAATTTAGATTAGGGTACTAACCAAAATTCCCCTAACATTTTTACTTCAGGGTACACAAGTTTTATTAATCCAGCATACATGTATATAAAAAAGTAAACTGACAATTTTTTTTCCTCACTTTAAGTTCCTGAATCTTCAAAAGAATAAAACACAACAGTCATTAATAAAAACTTTATACATCTTTATCAGAACCTCTGAATAAATTAAAACAAGATTTTTTAAAGAAAGGAAATTATCCCAAAACCCTGGGCATTAAATTTTTTAAATATAAAGATAAAAATTTTTTAAAAAGATATTTTAATCTCTCTGTCCTTTTCATTTTATGTTTGAAAAAACTTTTTCCAAAATACAACAAAATTTTTCCCTAAACCTTTTAGTCCCAGTAATGATTTAACTGCTTTTTAAATCATAAAAAGGAGTTAACCCCCTTTTTTTTCCCCCAAAGGTTTGACGATTTTAGATCTGGGTAAAAATTTGCCTCCATTTTTTGGGTTCAAGATGACCAGAGTCAATAAAAAATTGCCCTTTTTCTATTTTTTTTGGTTTAATAATTTTTTTTGTAAAAATAGCAAAATTCTAAATATTTTAAAGGGTTTTTTAAATTTTTTTTTTACAGGGGTTTCAAGCTGAAATAATATTAAACAAAAATTCAGAAAACAAACACCTAGGGGAATGCTGAATAAAAAAGGGCATTTGCTGTTTTCTTTTTAAAAATTTTGACAGCCAAGTTAACCATTACCCCCTTTTTAAGGGAATGGCGTGATCAAAATTATACAAAATGTAAATGCAACAATGAACCAAACAGGTACCGGTAGATACTATCTGTTGTACTAATTTAAAGGGAAATAATACAATGAAAAAAAGTTAAATATGAATATTAAATATAACCACAAGGTACACCTTGCTACCAAGAAAAGTTATACTGAGTAAAAATACATTAAAGAGGCCATAAGTCAGTCAGTATGAAACATCCCAAACAATGTGAACACTAATATTGTATCACATTATGCCAAGTAAGGAACAATTCCAAAATGACACCAGGTTAAGCCAGCTACATCATGTGGTAAAGATGTTTTAAATGTATTCTAATGTTAGTATGATGACAACACTGAATATCATATTCATAATAAGAGATCAAAACACAAATATTTTATTTTCACATGCATTTCTTACAACACTTTGTGAAAAGCACAAAATTAAGACATGGACATCGGAATTTTTACAAGTGATGACGTTACACAGGTAGATTAGCAGGGTCAGGCAGCACCAATCAAATTTATATAAAGAGATCAAAACAAAAATAATTTTATTTCAAATTTTGCATTGAATTTCATAATTTTTATTACTATTTTTGTTAAAAGCTTGAATCCATACATTAGTCATTATGGATATACAATTTTTTTATATGAGGTAGTTATCCCGCAAGATTAGCAGGGGCACAAACCCCAGAAGTATGCCGTGTCCATAAGTGTTTGTATCATTAGTAAAAGCTTGATAGTTGTCACATGATCTGTATTAAGAACTGACCGGAGAGACCACACAAAATATGCATAAACAAAAAAATGCATGAAATATGAAACATACAACAAATATTTTATAAATCATCAGACGTTTTATCTGATGAAACAGCATGCTCTTTTTATGCCTTGAATGACATGATATCTTAATTGCGTAATACATACATATCCAATTACCTATATGCAGGTGCTTAGCTTGTTTATTTGTTAATAAAATAGGTTTTTAAATACCAAATTTTAATACAAGCATTGATTCTATTATGATATATAACTAATATTTATTTCATTGACAAAGAGGCAAAGAGCAAATTTGACTCTAAAGAGACAAGGGCAAATCTGACTATTAACCTGTTACCAAAGAGATAGGGCCAACTCAAAACAGAGAAAGGCAAAATTTGACACAACTGAGGTATTAGGTGGCAAACTTAATTCTAAATCACAGAAACAAGAGTTAAATGAGTTTAAGTTAAATTAACCACTCTGTCAAGAACTACCAGTAATGAACATGATGACATTAACAACAGCATATAAGTACAAATTCACTGAACTACTTGTATTTTAATTTTAATACTGTGTTAATATCTTAAATCAGCACTAAATGTTAAGAATTTTTATAGGATAAAACTTCAAATGATCAATAAATAGTGATCTTTTTATCTGCATGTACTGTCTCAATGTACCTGATTTAAAAGGCAAATTTATTTAAAAACAGATAAACCACAGCAAAATGCACAAAGACTGAGTTATGGCCCTTACTTTTCATATTATCTACATGACAATGTCTATATAATATTACAAACTTCCTTTATACTGAAAGTGCATATGTGTATTTTATCATACAATTCCAAGTTACAAACACATTAAAGGTACAAGTTATAAATAATGACATAACTCACATATTCACTAGACTGTAAAGAGGGAAGTAAAATTAACTTACCAATAAATCTAGAGTCATCATTGCTTATCTCCCTTTGTAAACTTAGTGTTTTATCACTGTAGTTATCCAACATGAATTATTTATTGTACATCCATACAAAACCAAGATATCTTATCTGGACATTTAGTCATCACAATTATTAATGTAGATAGGTGTGTCTTAAAAACCGCCAAGATTAAATTATTCAAGCACTGTTCCTTGAAACAACATTACACTCTTTTTAAAATATAACTCCCTATATTTCGCTATAAACTGATCCACGCACGGTTATATCACATTCAGAGTGTTTTGACATACCACTAGAGTGCATATATGATAAAAAGATACAATGAATATGATTTTACTTTGTCGTCACCCGCCTATTATTTCACCATGAATAAATGAATAACACCTCTGCTCTGCAGAAGTGCAACTTTTCGATGAATTGATAACATGGCAACTATGAGTTGTGACTAAACACGTTTCTGAGCTGTTATTTCGGAATGTCCTGAACATGTTTTGAACATGTATCTAATAAAAACTATGCGTTTACGAACATGCACGTGTATGACCATGAGCACAAATTAGTGGCTAACAGATCAGGTCAGAACGAGATGCGTGAAGTTAGTCGATGTCTGATGAATCAAAAAAAAGGTAGCATGCGCTCAAACTCATTAAAATTGACACTAGTTTTTTCTCTATCCAGCGTGATTATGTTTTGGACAGTCGTGTAGAAAACTTTGCAGCAGAACAGTTATACATACTTGTTGATCATGTACTCAACCTAGCTCTTACTGTCAAAACACGATCGTAGAACATTGATTTCTAAAAATGTTCCCAAAAGTCATGACGGACTATGTTATAACGACATCACATGACAATCACCGACGAGCTGCGAAACACATCTTAAACCTGCTTATTAAAATATGACAAATAAAGATTCCATAAAACATGGAGTCTGCATATCGAACATTGTTAATAATATCCATCAGGTCATTTGACATTTCTCATGTCAAACATTCAAAAGAACAGCATGACATTGTTTATACAAAATCAGCACAAGAATCAACAGACAAAGGCAATCACAAAAAGTTCATCATACGAGTAACGCTCAGATGAAGTAAACATAAATACAACTTTTGAGCATCAGAAACCCTGGACACAAATCTTTTTAATTCTATGTACTATTCTTTTAAATTTTTCAGCACAAAAGATAATTTCGATTTATGTCGGATACTTGATACATGTCACTGTGGAATACTAACTGCTTCACATTTTGTGTCTTAATGACCACTTCCTGATATCAAAATGTTTCTGAACGAGCTTGCTGATTAAGTTAAATTTGGCAGGATCAAACTTGGTCTTTGTTGGCCTTTTTACCAGTTGCACTATGGTTTTGAATTTCTTCGATGGTGAAGAACATACCTCTCCAGGATATCCTCCAGATGATCAAATGTTGCAAACCTGCCAAAGGAAACACTGACTTTGAATAAGCAAAATAAATCATTTTATTTTTTTTCTTATCCGGACATCGTGTTATCCGAAAAAATGTTAATAAATGACAAAAAAACTTAAATAATTTAACAGTTAAAAATCTCTTTTTTAAGTTAAGTTTCATTCATTTATAAAGTGGAAATTTTGTGGCTATGAGAATTTAAATAATTTCCTCCAAAATTTCTAGATATATGGTCGATTGTTCCTTAAAAACCATTTCGGCCAAGATGCCAAATTTTCGGTCGGCCGTCCGGACCGATAACTTTCCAGAAGACTGGCATTTTTGCTAGGTATTTTGGATGACCTTTTGAATTTTAATTGAAAGCAAGAGCTATCTTATTTTAATTATCAAGACTCCTTGTGCTCGGAAGCATGCGTGCAGATGAAGAACTTACATGCGATGGGTATAGCAGGATACCATTTCTCCTGGAACTTGGAAAATGTTCTTGTCCCAGGCATTGACCCTCCCCGATCAGCGGCGTGCTGACAAACGACCAGTTGTTCGCCAAAGTCCAATAAACAAGCACTTTCATATTTCAGCCATTTTGATTTTTCCCCTCGTTTAAAACTAACCGCACATGTATTCGTGTAATCTATTGGTTGCTAAATATAAACTTTGGGTTAGGTGGCGCTGAAGGTAACGTGATTTTCTAAACCGGAAGTATAGAAAGATAACACTTGAAGAAACTGTAAACATGCGATTTTTGGTGGATTTCGAGGTTTTCAGAAGCTGAAGAAGGTAAATGTCATTATATATAACAATATGTTTTGTTCTGACACCACGGTAAGTGCTACAACCCGTTGCTAGCTGTATATTTATTATTAGAATAACATCCGGAAAAGTCCGTAAGTTCCGTATTTTAGCCAGCCTCCAGGATCATTTTTGTGAATCACGTAAATCCGTTTAGATTTCTGAGGGTATTGGTTGCCTCTTGTCTCGAGTGAGAACTGAAAGAACTCTATTGCCCATTTGATTTTATAAACAGGTGATGTTTTTGTCCGTTTCGTTAAAATTCAAAAAGTTTTTTTGTGCATTATGAGCGATTGTGTGCATTACGCACCTTGGTATGAATCAACGCTTCTGATTGGTCGAACAAGTTGTGATTGTCGAATCAGATTTTAGAAAACAAGTGACCGGCTAGTTTGTACTTCCGTAAACAACAACAACAAAAAAATTCTCATCATGAAGTTTCTGCCCGCGAGGCAAAATACCAAAGACCTAGAGAAACAAAGCAATGTTGCAAATATTTGGCGATTGCCGTCCTTGAATGAAATTAATTCCGAGGGGTTATTATGGGGATATTTGGCTACGGAAACATGGGAAATCGGCGGCACAAATCGACCCGCACGAAGTACCCAGACTATACCCAGAATAGATACACCCAAATAAAAGGCAAATATAGTAATATTCATCTTTGTTTGCCTAAAATATATATTTTTGTAATGAGAAAATAAATTATTTTTATAAAATAACTTGAATAAGCCGGCTGTAACTTTCTTTCATTTACATTTTTTCGGGCCCGTACGGCTAGCCAAAAGTTCTAGCCGTACGTGAGTCAGGTACGACTAGCCAGGACACACTGTATTGGCTAGCCGTACAGCACTTTTCAAAAATATATGGAAGGCGAAAGTGCATATGTTAATTATGACTTAAAAAGAGAATTTTAGTCAAGAATGTTTACTTTTTAGAGATTAATCGACACGTTGGCTACAGTAAAGAATGTACTTTGTCCTCTCAAGACGTCGAGAAAAAATAGCATTTGGTTGCAGTTACATAACATCAATTTAAATAGTTTACAAAATTTTGATGATAATCCTTTTTTGTTTCATTAAGTTTAATTTTTAAATTGAAAAAAAAAAACACCGAAAATAATTGTTGTTGGGCACTGATAATTGCGTCAATTACCGTCGGTATAGAAGTTTGTCCATCGTCGATCATTAAGGAAAGTTTGCATTATTAAATTATTTTTCTTTTTCACCGTTTTTTCTAATATTCTTTTTTTTTATTATTTACATGTATTTATTTATTCCCCTCCAATCATTATTTATTCGATCCATGTGCTTAACAGATTTAACAATTCATCTTTCATACAAATCATAAGCATGAACAGACTTCCCGAAAGTTGAAAAAAACTGTCAGACATTCGGTCTGACAAACCATGAAAATCTGTCGGACCGAAACAAAATCTGTCGGACCAAATAAAATTGATCAAAATCAAAGAAAAACTTGGTTTGTATTTCTAAGACACTTTTTGCTTTTTATTTTTTCGCGTAAAAATCGGCACAATCCTCACAGCGCATTTTCATCTCCTCCCTGTCATACACCAATGATTCATGGTTCTGCTTCCATTTTTCATTAAATTTTGTCTCAGGTCTATGCTTTTCATCCTTTTATTGCTGTTCTGCGCACTCTTCTGACGTATTTTCGGTTTTTCCAAGGTTTGGCACCTTTAGCGACGCCATTTTTTATACATGCGGCTTGGATAAAAGCCGGACAGTCGGACCGATCCGGAATAAAAAATTGTCGGACCTTATCAGAATTTATCGGACATGTCCGTCGGACCGACGTATTTCGGGAAGTCTGATGAACATTAAGGACGATATAACATGCAAGTTTGACACTTAATTTTATTAAGCTAGATTATACAACACTTACTCGTATTCATTTTTTGTGTGCAAAATTGCGGAGCATCTTTATTGAAGTGAACAAACTAGGACAAATGAGGAGATTTGATTAAAATCGTCATTTAAAGACACAAAATAACATATGCATTTTCGACTTCCATTTATTTTTGAAAAGTGCCGTACGGCTAGCCAATACAGTTTGTCCAGGCTAGTTGTACGTGACTCACATACGGATAAAACTTTTGGCTAGCCGTACGGGCCCGTACAGCTAGCCACTTCCTTTTAAGAAAATTAACTTGTGCAGGGTTGTCATTAAGAGGCGGCAGGAGGCCAAAATGCCTGTCTCAAATGCATTATGGGCCGCCTCAAAATTAAGAAAACACTCTTTGTTATGCATGATAAAGACAGAAATGACCGCCTCAAATTCAAAACAAACCTTCTGCAAAAAAATGTTAATGACAACCCTGCTTGTGACATTTGATTTGCTGATCTAGATTCATTATTTAATTACAATTTAAGATAAAGATATGATAATATTTGTTGTCTACATTTAAACTTTTAGGGTATAATTTTTTTGTTATTTCATACAAGTGTCCATCATATTATTTTTTTTTAATTTAATTTTATAAGGACAACTTTTAGCAGTAGCAAAAAATCTACAAGGTTGAGCACCTGTTACTTTGTGATATTTTGCATGTTTAGAGAGTAGCTAAAGCAGAGACGGTATTCCTTTAGCCTGTATATTTAATTTTTGCCAGAGGGACGAAATGTGTTGTTTTGGGTCTCCGTCCACTGTAGATTTTGGGCTTCAACAGAATGAATTGCATTTTTTTTACTGCCTGCCTAATGCAGATGGGATAATTTCTTTGTAGATTTGCAATCTTATGTCATATACGTTCTCAACAAAATGTGTTTTCTTTTTCCAGGTTGTGTAGTTTGGTATCAGAATAGATTGACGTATTGCTTGTAGGACATTGACGGCTGAGGAACTTGAAATTAACGGTAGAGTGCTACCTTTAACATGTATGAGTGTGACAATTTCTATGACCATGAAAATACAAGGAAGAGTAATTCGGACAAGTTAACAGATCTGTATATCTGAACTAAAAGTACTGAAATGATTGCTGATGCAAACCCTGTTGGTTAGATTTTCTATCAAGAGTTTGTCCAAATAATACTGGTTAACTTATGTCAGGTGATGAAAAACCCTCTGGCACTGAATATTCAAAAGGAAATTTTGCATCTAAAGAAGAACAATGCTATGTTCTTGCTAAGATTGGTTTGAACAATGTAAAAGATTATAGAATAACACACAGAATATTAAGACAAAGGAAAATTTCTTTATTCCGAAAAGTACAAACAAATGAAAAAAACTGTTACACTGTTTTGTGCCTGGATAGTGTGATATTAGCTATATCATATTTCATAGAAAATATTGTGGATGAGAAGTTGTTTGCTGTTGGACATATGTACAATAACAGAACAAGTACATCCTTTTTGTGATGTTGGATGCCATCTCATGATCTGTTAAGAATGAAAACTGAAGAGGATGTTCATGTTGTTTCTTGTAGATAAGATAATTGAAGAAGTGTTTGTTATTCAAACTGAAAATACAATTTTTAAAGTTAGTTGTGTTCCATATTTGTTCAAGTGACTGGCGTATTTTAGATTGCATCATTTGAATCGCAGTTTGAGACAGTAAAATATAAGTCTAATATTACAAAATACAACTTTAATGTGACAATTAGTGTTAATTATTATAGGTACAATCCCTGTGGTAGTGATTTACGGGTCACTTCTTCAAATCTGTCTTATATAATAGATACTAAAATGATATGTTAACTAAAAAGTATTGATTTTGGATACAAATAAATTCAGATTCTTGAATAGGTGTTCAATTTCATGAAAATATTTTATATTCCAAGATATTTTCCTTTGTTTTGTTAAATTTTTTCAAGTTTAAGTAGTATTTGCAGTAACTCTTGTCTGCCATAAATGGTGGATGGCGAGTTTGAGCTCTGCTTTGCAACCATAACCTTCATATGGAAAAATTGGTAATTCTTAACTGAGTTTTTTTTTACTTTCGCCGAACTGAAGTTCCGCGTCCTGTATGGAATATTTTATTTTGCCTGTTGTATATTTGTAACTGGTAGGAACATAATGTGATTTTTGTACCTAAACTTAGCTTTTATGGCTACAGTTAAGGGTAATATATCCCACTATCAATTTATGCCTCATATTGTGGTACATAATCCCCGGCTTCTGAAATTAAGATCCTACCTTAATTTACCATTTACTTCTTCCCAGTGCCCTCTGATGCTTTATATCAATGCTTATCTTATATTCCGATAAATGCTGTAAAACTGTTGAAAATGGGGACAATATGTTTGACCTACATTTATGGCCTAGCAGATGGATTCTAGGATTATAACCAAGGAGATGCTGAATCATGCTCTGAGCTGTCTGAAAATTTTATTATATTCAAAATTCAATCATGTTTAAACATGTTTGCTTTCCTATAAAAAAATTGTAAACAAAACAACTGAAACTATTCTTTTTATCAGTGTTTTCACAGAAAGTAAAATCCTGTTGTAAGATGTAATTTTAAAAATGCTTATTTGTTAAAAAATATCAACTTGGAATTTATCATGTTCAGCCATGTTTGATCATGTATGACTATGTTATTCTCTTAATAGTAAATGGGTCAATGTGTCAGTAATTATTAAAGCGTTTAAGGCTATTTTTACACAAAGTTGAAATGTATGGATACTTTTTTATCCAAAAGAATAACTTATTTGATGAAAGTAACAAGAAAAAAAAGAGATTTGTTTGATTTTTTTTTTTATAAATTTATCATGTTTATTCATGATTGAATATGTTGATTTCTTGTAAGATTGTTTGCAGAAAAAAACAATCTTTATGATTTTTACCTCTCCCTGAAAGTCATTATAATATTACTTGAAATAAATACAGATGTTTTATTGAACAAATTGTAATTTTCATCCACAATCATGTTTGATGGTCAAACATGTTTATAAGACATGATTGACCAACATGGTCAATGAGGAAAAAAACATGTTTGTACACGTCTTATCATGTTTAATCATATAACATGATTTCTTTTTCGCTAGGGTATAATTGTCACTAATACATTAACTTTAAGTAGCCGGCACACTGTAATTTTCACGCCATAAAATTACACAAATGTGCGCTAAAATATTTCAAATCCATAGCTACACAACCATTACCTTATCGTTAAACCTCCCGGAAATTGTTTAAAAATAACAAAAACATCCAATTTGAACGTAGTGACTCAGTTACGAGCGCGCAATCCTATCCCATGCATAAATACGATTGTACAAACAAAATGAAGACAAAGTGGTGTAAAAGGTATGATAGTTATCAACTAAAATTTTACATAAATGACTACACTTCCACAAAGACAACATCAGGTTGGTTTTTTTGCCTAAAACCATATGTTCACCATAGCAAAGTCACTGACTTATAAAATGGGATGTAATAGATTTATTTATGGTGAAATGACATGTTTAACAGTGGTTGCATCAACATGTACTTGTAGGGAGGTATAAATAGCTACGCCAGGATATAAAACCTGTCAAAAAAGGGATCTGACACACAAAAACCCGTCAATAATTTATTCAATTTAATATGTATTTATGACTTAAATGTCAAATAGGTAGTAAATTCTGTTATTTTAATTAATTTATCTTGATATATATTTATTTTTTCCTTTGGTATAAATGAATAAATTTTTTAATAATAATACTTTAATATTTAATTATATGGCAAAGAAAAATTAATCAGAATATATTTTGTATATATCGTACTGCATAAATTATATTAACTTTGTTGTACAGTTTTTGTCTAATAAAGTATATTTTGTTCCATTATGCATTTGTAAACAAAGCCCAATCAACAAGTTAAGCTAAGTTGTTGATGTTAATATAAGATAATATATCATTTTGAATCAAAACTTTTTTGCAATTTTCATTTTTCACACTTTATCTGAATACCAAGTCTATTTAAAATGAATTAGAAGTAATACACCTTTTTTTAAAGTAGATCAATAAATATTTTTCATTAAAAACTTTTTCTTAATTCTATCATCCATTCTATTTTACAACATTGACCAGAATACAGGGGCTGGCTATGGCAAGTTTGCCACCTAATGCAAATGACCCCTAGCTAAGTTGGAAAGTATGTATGTAGTAATACTAAACACAAATAAGAATGTATCAACATATTTTTATAAAACAGTTAAGAATTTTACTTTAACTTAGAGCTGTCATCGATATCGACAATATCGATGTATCGTTGATATTTTTTGCCGATCAATAATCGATACACATTTTAACAAGAGCTGTCCATAAGACAGCGCGCTCGACTTTTTTATTGCTTGCCAATAAAAAAAGTTTTTGCAGTAAAAGGCAATACAAGAATCTCTGTATTTTTAAAGTGAACAATGGCCATGAGCATTAAGATATTTAGTGAAGAATTATTTTATTATGACATAATTTATGGTAAAGTGAACAAGTGGATAGGAATGAATTTTTTTAGATTTTTTAAGTTTTTTAGTGCTTGCCTATAATAAAAAACATTGACAGTTAAGGGCCATAATTCAAATAAAATCTTTGACAGAATTACCTTCTCCTGGACATGTTTGGGAATCATGATTGTAAACAAGTATTCCAACTTTCAAATTAATATCTCAAACAGTTCAGTCAAAAAGTGGACTGGTACTAAAAACTTAACCAAGATTCTAAGTCGATAAAAGGCCTTAATTTTTAAAACAAATCCTTGACAGAGTTACCTTCTCTTGCGTACAGATGGGGTAATGATGTGAAATAGCATTAAAAGTTTCAAAGCAATATCTCAAAGGGTTAAGGCAATAAGTGGATTTTACCCATATTCAATGTATTTTCTAAGTCAAAAAGGGGCATAATTCTGTCAAAAACCTTGACAGAGTTATGTCCTCTTGTCTGTTGATGAAGGTCGTGATGGTAAACAAGTATGGTCAGTTTCAAAGCAATACCTCCAATGGTTTTGAAATAAAGTGAGGTGGTACAAAAAACTTAACCAAGCTCAATACACTTTCTAAGTCAAAAAAGGGCCATAATTCTGTCAAAAACCTTGACAGAGTTATGTACTCTTGTCTGTAGATGGAGGTTATGATGGTGAACAAGTATGGTAAGTTTCAAAGCCATACTTGTAATACTTCTGAAATAAAGTGGGGTGGTACGAAAAACTTAACCAAGGTGTGACGCCGACGCCGGGGCGAGTAGGATAGCTCCCCTTTTCATAGAAAAGTCGAGCTAAAAAATCGATACTTTTGACAAATAAATTACATGTCTAGAAATTATAAAATTCACCCAAAATATATATATATACAGAAGCAGTTATTTATATCTAATGTTATACTTTTGTTATATAGTGGAATTATTTAATAGCAATGGTGACAAAAAATATTGTCTGGAAAAAATCATGCAGTGGACAAGACACTGTACAAAATATGTTTTTGACTGAAATCATTGAAACAGGTATGAAAGTGAATGACAGACAAGTGAGTATAGGATATTATCGATATATCGGTGTATCGTTGATTTTAGTCACTTGATATCGATATATCGTTGATATGCTTTGCACTGAATCAATGACAGCTCTACTTTAACTAAATAAATTATAATGTTAAAGTAAATTAGTCATAGCTCATGCATTCACTTTACCTTTTTTGAGATGATAATTGAAATATATAATATTATTATATAATCTATAAATAGCTTTGAAATGCCTTTCGCTGATTGGTTAACAAGCAACTTTTTGTAAAAAATAACAGGTCAATATCAGAGTATATTCACTTTTTTTCCCCCTAAAAATAGATTTTCAGAGTATATTTACCGGTTTTTCTTCTAAAAATAGATTTTCTGGAAATCCCTTAAAGACGCGAGACTTTGCCGTGTCGTCAGGCCAAGTTTGTTGCTATTATTATGAAGAAACGTTGAGTTGGGTGTACATAAGAGTCAAATGAGTCAAATTAGTCTATATTAGTAACCATTTTTCATTTTTAAGAAAAATAGGGATTAGCATGCCAATGGAAAGGGCCAAATTATGGAAACAGTAGACAAGCTGAAAAATAATGATTTCCGTCATATGCAATGGCAGATGTGATAAGCCATATAAAAGCTATTTATAGATTATATAATAAAACAGATATGTACTTTTTAGCTGTTGAATATGATGTGGATATGTACTGAAAAATTAATATTGAACTCGGCTATCGCCTCGGTCAATAAAATTTTTTCAGTACATATCACATCATATTCAACAGCTAAAAAGTCCATATTTGTATAATATTTCATAAATTGACCTTCATTTATGTAGCCACTTAAATACTAATTAGTCTAATACATTAGTTTGATTTAAAGTTACACTGCTAATAGTGACATATGGCTTCTTTCCCATAATGACATTAAAGAGTCAAGTTTCTTGGTGGACTACAGCTTACTGGTACAAACACTAGTCTCATATCAGATATATTGCAAGACCTTAATCAGCATATTTCATGAGTAAATTACAATGTCCACATATTACACATATTATAAGTGAGCAGGAAAGAAATAAAAATTAACCTGATTACATAATATATTAGCAGGTAGCTGTCACTTAATAATATAATCAATCATTTTAACTTTTCAATTATTATCTTAATTGAATGTCACCCTAGGGCCTGAAACTGTCAATTCCTCATATTTGACACTCTATAGTTGTTCATATATTATGTACAATAGGACGATTTAAATAACCATTTAGTTTGCAACTTATAATAATTCGAGAAATATTAGCCACTAGCCAGTTTACATAATTACAAC